CCGGCGGATCCAGCCGCCTCCGGCCAGAGGGCGGGCGTGGCCGCCTGATCTCGCCGCCACAAGCCAGGGGGCGGGCGCGACCATCGGATCTGCAGATCACGCCGCCAGCAAGCAGGGGACACGGGCGCTGGACTATCAGGTCGGCCACCAGCACGAGGGCGTGGCCGCTGGACTGCCAAGCCGGTCATCTCCACAAATGTCAGCAGACCGACGCTAAGAAACGCCGCCGACAGAGGGGGAGCTCGGGGAGGGCGAGGGGAGGGGAAGAGAGGGAGCGGGGGGAGAGGAAACTGCGGCCACTGCCTTGTTGAGCAACGCCACCGTGGGCCGCCGCCACCGCAAGTCGAAGGGAGTGGCGATGGCGGCAGGAAGGCCGGCCCCGAGGGGCTCTAGGGGGTGGCAGCGGGAGGCCCCCCGAGTCGCCTCAGAGATGACGCGGGGGTCGGGGGTCCCAAGTTCGCCTCGTATCCTAATGAACCTAACTAATAACTCGCCGGTCCAAGTTAGCTACACCTTGTGTACGTGTTGCCACTTAGCTAGCTAAGTGACGCGTACGTGTTTTTTTTATAATTTTCTTTTTAAAACAAAATTGCATATGCGTGCCAGAGTCAAGTATATGAGATGGACTTGTGCACAAGGTACGGTACGACGCTTTGCCTTGCGAATTTGCGATCGTTTTGTACCAAGCTGTACGTCTTGTTGTGCATGACTCCATCGACCGCCCAACGACTTTTTTTTCCCCTTGAGGTGCCAGTGCAGTGCACGTATATATATTCTAGAATTATATTAATTATTAAGACACATGGGCAGAAGGATTAACATCATTTTTTTATGTGCAAAGTACTAATAATATTATTATTATTATTTCATTTCATTCAAGTGGCTTACCTTCTAGATGGAGTAGCTTGGTACATCCTACTAGCTAGCTAATTTGCGTGGGTAGTAGACCCAGAGAATCGGAGATTCGGACTAGAGATATACAGATAATATATATGCACGCTCGTGATGCAATTCGATCAATTTCTTGCGTCCAAAAAAAGCTTTACTTGTTGCCGTGTCTCATTGAATCACCTGATTTTCTTGAATACTGTCTTTATCTGAATAGTATCATCTTATGAAGTTGTCCTAAGCTAAGCTTTTCAAAGTTTGGCTAAACTTTATAAGGAAAAATGACGAATATTTATGACATAAAATTAGTATGATTAAATACAAGTATATACAACATGGAATAAGTTTTCACACCACATTTTTTTGGTGTCATTGATGTTAATACCCTTTTTATATAAAATTTGGTAAAAAAAAAGCAAGCTTGACTTAGGGCAATTCTAGAAGTTAATTTATCTAGGGATGGCGAGAGTATGTTATGTCAAACAAAGTATTACTCTGTTGATTAATATAATAATCTCCATTGGGAACATCAATAAGCTAGGCAAATATATTTTGTTTATCAAGGGAAGCAATGGTACCATTATTATATCAGCTGTACAAATTAATGTGCATTATATTTTTTTTAGACATGCATACACATTTATGTGATTGTAATCGCCCCTATGAACATATACACCCAATATCCTACAAGCACGAGAGAAAACTAGCACTAATTAATAAAAGTGGAGGTACACCGTGTCCAAATGGACAGTATGTTTCGCCACAACAAACCTAACTAACTAAACCACAACACTATATTGATGTGACCAAAGAAATGGATAATGCCGCAAATAAGGGAAAGAGACCTCGCAAAAGCAACTGTTGCAAATAAGAGGAAATAAAGGGGGGAAATAAAAGAAGATAGAAGACTGGGGAAACGTGGGAGGTTGACACTGTCACATGGGTGGCTCTTAATTCTAGCTTGATCTCTTCTCACAAGTCACAACGCATGCAGCTGACATCATGGCTTAAACAGGGAGGACACGATGCTTAGCTTAGTCTATAGTACAAGACTACATGGCTGTAGATAAGTAGTGAATGATTGCATTGAGGTTACAGGCTTGCTGCAGTGGAGAGGAGAGATAGTTAAGGTGGATTATACACTCCTCCATTAAAAAAACAATTCTAGGATTAAACCAAGCCAATCTTTTTTTAAGTTTGACTACGATTATAGAAAATGGTATCGACGTCTACATCTCCATATAGGTTTATCATAAAAATATATTTTATAATTAATTTAATAATACTTATTTGGTACCATGAATGTTAGTGTGTTCTATAGATAGAATATAATCAAATTTAAGATGGCTTGACTCCTTAAAAGATAAGAATTACATCTTTTTAGGCAGAGGGGCGTATTAATAATGGAGAGTACCTTGTGTTTGTTGAAGAGTTTGCTGTTGAGCTTAATTAATCACGGGCGTTACTTGTAGAGCTAGTCGTAAGTAGGATTAGCTGCCGAGTGCAGAGTGCAGGGAGCTAGCAGTACCACCTGTACTGCTAGTACTACTTCATTAACATCCACAGATGCATGGCTCTCCAGTCCGATCCCAGTTGTTCTGATCGATCGCCGTTTTGCAAGTTTCTTAAAGGAGCTGGCGGTGGACCCCCACCACCAATATTCCATAGGTTCAGTTTATAGTTTAATGCCAGGAACGAACTGACGCCAGGTAGCAAGCAAAGCCAAGGCCACCGCCAGCGCCACCGCGTCAGCAGCAGCCTGTTGGCGCCGGCCAGCCGGCCGGCCGGCCACCTCCTCATTCCCAGCGCGTCGAACGCGGCATGTGCACAGTGCACTGGCAGAGGCGGACGGCGTCAATGTACAGCCCCCAAACCCAACACTACCCGACTTGCTCCAACTCCCAACTCCTGCAGCGCGCTGTGGCTGGAGTTGGAGACTTGCAACCACCATTGCTGCATCGCTGTGTCTCTACACGTCGACACGCACACAACAGAGACCACTCATCAGTGCTGCTGCCTGAAGATCATTCAGAGTGGTTACAGGGCTAGCTACAAGCCTACTACAGGCGTAAAAATTCAATCACCATCACATTCAGCAGGTCAGGTACAACGCGAGACTTTGCTGTAGCTTACCTCTAAGCCAAGCCAAGCCTCCACGTCACATGCTCCACCATCATCACGTTCTCCTGCTTGTGCAAGCACGGAACATCACAGATCAATACTCAGTCAGATCATGTGACGGTTCTTTTTCTTGATTTAATTTGGAAACACGAGGCCCTGAACATGCATGGTTCCTTCTCTCCCTTCTTTTTTTTTCAAAAAAAAAAAGGAATATATGGTTTTTAAACTTACACACACATTTGAAAGTGCACATGAAACGAAACCTGATGAGTGATGATGGATAAATAAATGGAGAAGAGGCAGTTAATTAATAATAAATTACCAACGCTAGCTTCTTGTGAATCATGCATGGTTTCCTGCAGTAGCAGATCACAATCACAAAGGAAAGGAAGCTAGCTAAAGCTAAGCTAAAAGGGATCTCCATCTGCTCCGGCCGGCCGTTGGTGTGGAGCATGCCAACCAGCTGTTTGTTCGCATTTACATCCACTTCCATCAGTCCGGTAGCAGCAGAGAGTTCAAGTCCAAGTCAGGTATTCTTATCTATCGGCCAAGCAAAAGGTTAGGTAGCGGTAGCAGTAGCAGTAGCACCCACAGCCACTTGTCCAAGCAACTCAAACTCGTGCAGTCATGCTTCACTTCACTCATTGGATTGGACAAATGGTACTAGTACCTTACTATACCATACCATGGACTGCAGGGTTGGGTTATCAGGGTTTTGGATTGAGAAACACCACAAGAAAGAAGCTTTTGGAGCCAAGCGGGCTGCATGAGTAAACCAAGAAGCCACGCCTCCAGGCTGCAGCAGCCATTCTGGAATGATTCACATCACGTGGAAACGCCTGTTTAGCAGGTGAAAAAAAAACAAAAAGGGCACACCTCGACTCGACGCATCATCAACACGGCGGCCGTCCCACAGTCCGTCCACCTTTAATTTCTCGCACACCCTGCTGCCTCCTTTACACTTGTCAAGCAGGAGTTGTTCGTGCGTTTCCTTCTAGCTTCGACATTCTCCGGCCCAGTCTCCAGTCTACCAGAAGCGGCTGATGCCAACCTGGACCCTCCTCCATATTCCAACACAACTCTGTTTTTTCCTGTTATTAACACTTCACTTCTCAAACCCATCTTCTTTTTTCCCCAAGGCTGCGGGAAATTCCTGTACTGCATATATATACAAGAAAGGATAAGGGATACAGGCAGATCAGTCAAGTTTATTTGAGGAAACCATGCATTTCAAGCAACCGTTTGCTACAATATTATTCAGAAAATTCCTTGTTCTTGTTTATATTCCAAGGCCAGATTTCTCAACACGCCTAGGAATAAAACAGCACATCAATTGGCCAAAAAATATTACACTACACAGCTCAACTGAACTAATAATCTTACTACAAAAGCTCCCAGCCCAAAGGCCTCAGTCAAGGAATCGGATTTATCCACTGTTCCTCAAAAAAACAGACCCTACATAACCAGCTAAACTTTACCTCCTGGCACCTATTCGTGTATAAGACAAGAACGGCGCGATTGCCTGCATCAGTAACACATATTGTGCTTAGCACTGAACGAGTTTGCCAAGTACTGTGGTATCAAAAGGGTGAAAGTACATAACTACCAAACTTGTACCTGTGGGCCTGTCCCCTCTGTGTGCATCTATGTACGCCATCCAGGTAGATATCAGCAAAACTTCTGTTTCACAATGCTTGGAGCACAGTGAAAGGAAGCAATAGTTGTATCAACAGCTTAGCAGCACGAGCTCAGGAGTAGAAGTAAAAGCTCAGACAGGAATATAATCATCCATCCTGCATCCTGCATGAATTAAACCAACAACAGACCTATTCAATGCCTTGAGTATTCAAAACAAAGGGGAACTAAGAAAAACTGTGTGGGGAAGATAGCAGGAAAGAAAAAAGAACAGTTATTATCATCTCACCAATGGCACATCACTGATATGTGACTACAACATGCTAAAACCAGTAAAGCTTTAGATGACATGTCTATCACTTCATAATGGTTTCTTTCTCAGTGACGTCCCCTACCGATACGATTTGCAAGGCTGTGCCTCCAACAAGCCATGCTGTGAGTTCTGGTTGTTGCTCAAAGTTTTTGAGAGGAAATGTACTTCCCTCTTTTGTCTCAACGCCATAGACAAAAGGAAGCCTCATTGTAAGAAAGCTCTCAGGTGGGAGGATAACTCGGCACCCAATACTGAATGATCCTTCTCGATCATGATCAGAGACATTTGATGGCAAACATGACCCCTGATTGGGAAGAGAAAGGGAAAAGGCAATAACTCCACTTAGTGACCTTTTCTGTTACATCTAGGTTATGTCTTCCCATAGCTACTCTATGGGGTGAGTAAAGGAAATATATGATTCACGCTGAATATAGATAAGTGCACTTGCCTCAAACTGTACAAGTGGGCAGCTTGCCAACAGGACAGGGAAATCAGGTGTCACCTGCATTAAAGAGAACCTAGACATTAGTAGGAAGGCAAGATTACAGAACAATGTCCCTATGGATACTACAAGAAACATGTCTCAACTTCAACGGTACTATAGGAAACAGGGAGCAACTAAAAATCTATTTTCCTGGTGTAAGATTGTGAATGATGATACTTCGTCATATCTAACTACGATAAAAAAAAAACTTCAGTTAGAACATTATAACTCACAATGAAAATCCGTTGAAGTTGCGACACGGCACCAGCAAACTTTACATCTTGATGTTCCTTCCTTTCTGAGATCTTGCAATGTGGACAGTGCATATATATTGGCAAGTTTCTGTTCATCAGTGAAAATGCTTCTCCGCCATCATCAATTGTAATGCTTGGAAAATAATGCTCCCCCCTTTTGCCATTCTGTGGATCTGAAAGCCAAGGAGAAGGTTGTGAAGTCTCTGCATCAACCCTCAGCTGCAGTGATTGCTGCTGGCTGTTTCTCCCTGATGATTGCAATGGCTTACTGTTTTTCCGTGTACTGTTTATGTCCACTGCAGATGCAATTAAACCAGATGCATTCTGGAGCAACTTTTGTGCATGCTTGCCTTCTGCTTCTTTGTTTAAATGAGGTCTTTGATACTGCAAACAGGAAGGATCAATCTCCTTCATATGTTTCTCTGACAGTAAGAAGCGATGACCATAGGGACACTCATGCTCAAATCCAACATACACAACAAACTGTTGCACCGGCTGACTAGTTTCTCTAGTCTCATCTCCAACCATCACTGGTACTATATTGCTCCCTATCTGTAAAAAGGGTTTCCCATCAGAATTTTCACTACTCTTGTTTCTGCTTGCTTTCGCAGATTCAGTTTCAGCTACAGGCCCTTGGCTGACAGCAGCATGACCTCGGCCATTAGCCTGGTCTCCTATATTCATTTGGCGCTCGTCTTTTCGACCACCAGGTTTCGGTGGCCTCATCTGCTGAAGAGCAGGAAACTCGGAATCTTTTGATGTGGTGCCAGCAACAACTTCAGCAAAGGGTTTTTTCATAATAAAATTTGGCAGACCTTTACCAAAATTAATACCTGAGTTGCTCATTGGTTCCATTTCAGGTTGTTTTCCAGAACTTTCGAGCTTTGCAGATTTAATTTGTGCTGTGACTTGGGTTACAGCAGATTTTACTTCACCAGTGACCATTGGGGGAGTCTGAGGGTTCATACCAGATCTTGTGGATGAAGTAACAGTATTAGAACGAATGCCATTTCTCACTTGCCCTTACCAACAGATATAATCCACCTTAGAAGATACCTCTCCTTGGAGCTAAATCCACTTTGGAGGAGCCCTTTGTTGGCTTGTAATATCTTGCTCCTCCTAGACGCACCAAGCGCCAAGAAGATACTGAAAATGAACCAGCATCGCTGCCTCTTGGAAGCGCAAGGGTAGGTAGTAGATCATCGCAATTTTGGAAACAACTAAAAGACACATTGGCTGTCTCAAAGTCAAAAGGATCATCTCTAAGGCGACGTGACCGGCCACAGGCACATGCATGGAGGAATACATATCCACTAGAATGTTGCTTCATTGCATCTGATGAAGAGAAATCTCCATGCCTGCGGTGCTTACATGGTCTGCCAGTTAGGCTAACAGCGTCACATTGCTGCCTTCCAGATTCCCATATTGCCCGGCACTCATCTTCTAGCTTCTTTGAGAATACCCTGACTGCTGGTCCTTTAACCATCGAGCCAAAGGACCGCAATGCCTTCTGTAGCTGCACTTCATGCATGCTTGTGGGGTAAAAGGCAGGCAAACCTTTCAGGTAAATCTCCTTAGCAGCCGGAAGCACCCTTTGGCACCATGATGAAGAAAATTTCATGTTCAGCCCATTATTACTTTCCAAGCACGATATAATGCGATCTCAATAGCATTAGATCCTGCAGCAGGAAGTTGGTCATTCTTCTCAATAGGACTTGTATGAGTCTTGCTTTCAGACTGACCACTCAGCACATTTCTTCCACTCAACAGTGCAGTTAGAATAGAGGTACTTATGGAAAACCATTTATCAAAAGTAGGGAGATCAGGTGCATTAACTGGTTTCCCAGATGCAGCTGATGCTGCTGCTGCAGCAGCAGCAGCAGCCACCATGCCAACACCAGAAACAGACCCAGCACTTGCATTGCTTGAATATCCCCCTCTCCCTCTCAGCGCATCAGACTGCCGAAATATAAAATCCTTGATCAACTGAAAGTCATCATTGTTTGCTGGGTTGTAGTTGTTTTCCAGTGAAAGAATATCCAATGGCGATTTGGAGCACAAAGAATCTTCAAATAATCCTGCAATGATGTCCAGTGGCTCCCGTTTCTTATTAATGTACCGTTCCAACAGTGCAACAACCCTCGAGGTATCGAGTGAGAACAGGGGTAAATGATGACTCATGTTACTTACACCCTCGGGCCAATATGCCCGGGCTCCATGCCTGCAAGTACCCTGCACTTCTTGAGCAAGACACGGATCTGTCCCTCCAGGGACGAATGCAGTTTTTTGCCTGAATTACCCTCAGATTTGTTTGCTGCTCGGGCAAGCATAACCACTGAACCAGAACTCTTTGAAGCTAAGCTTTGTTTTGATAATCCATCAGAGGTAGAACCCTGATTTGATGAAGATGCATCACCCATATCATCGGAACTTGCTGCAGCACTTGAAACATCAACCGCATCATCCTCAAAGACAAAGAGCAATGCAGGAATGCATTGGCCTGGCAATACAGAAGGATTTGAACTGGTTCCGGACATAAGTGAGATGGCCGAGGACTGACGACCAGCGTGACCTCCACGGCGTGCTGGAGGGGATATGGAGGAAGCCCTATGGGTTGCTCTTGTTGGGGTGTCAGAGGCAACAGTTTTGGCAGGCATTGCAGCTGCTACCAATGACTTGACAAATGGAGCCAAAGCATGCTTTGAAGATTGCAGCAGTCGGAACTTCTTTAAGGTTTGTGTGTTAAATCTGAAGCCTTCTTGCATAAATATAATTACGTGGCAGACCTAGAATGTCGTAAAGTAAAACCAATCAATAAATCCTTCATTTTGCCACAGAAAACCAAAGAAACAAGACCATATAGTAGTCATTTGGGCAGTCAAAGGCACATGTTATCCTAGAAATATCATTATGAAGCAGTGAACTATAAAGTAACAGGCTGGTAAATGTGATGACAAAGTCTAAACTATCTATGGTCAGAACCAGACATTAGCCAAGCTTGAACACAGGCAAGCAATACTTTACAAGTTTAGCTCTAAGATGTCAATTCAACAAGATAGTCAATGGCAGTAATCAGAAGCATGTATAGAAAACTATGAAATTTTAAATGAGGCAAAAAAAAAAACATCCTCAAGTTGTTAAGGTGTTTTAAGTGCATCAAATCGTCAATAACTAGCTGACGTGATGCAGTAGAATAGGTGGATCATATACAAACGGATAAACCAGGCAGAGGCTTTGGGGTCAGTTTGGCAGTTCGATTCCCAGGATAGCAGACCTACTCTATGTATTATAATATAATGAGCAAAAGCAGAGTAAGAATCCGAGCTCACAGAGAACATGAAGAGCATCTCCGGGAGGTCGCCGTCGCCGCAGCCTCTTACCGCCGCCTGGAGCGGCGCAGGCGGGGGCGTGAGGTGCAGGAACACCATCCTCCTGCCGGCGTCGCGGTGGTACCTGACGCTCCCGGCGAGGGTCCCAGCTGAGCCGCCGGGGGAGAAGACGTGGGCGTCGAGGATCCGGTCCGCGAGGCGGGCGCTCCCTGCGCCGCCGACGAAGCCGACGGCGACGACCCCGTCGCGGGAGGCGGGCGACGGTGCGGGGCCCGCGGAGGAGGGGGTCGGGGAGGCCGGAGGCGGAGTGCGGGAGAGCACGCGGACGGGCGCGGAGTGGGTCGCCGGAGCAGGAGGCGCCGACGGCTCCATCGCCGGCGGCGAGGTGCGGGCGGAGGAGGTCGCGCTTGTTTGCCTGGAGCCTATACGTGGACTTGTCGCGGAGGGTGGTTTCGTTTGGGGTTAGGGAGGCCTTTCAGAATTCGGAGGGGATGGTGCAGTTGTGGGCCACAAATCTCACATTTGGTCTTGGTTCAGACTGATTTCCGGCCCATCCCACCTTGCTTGTGTAGCGTTTATTCTGCCGATTCTTTTTTACAAAGCATCACAGTCCTGACTATTCTTTGATCTATTTCTTTGTTGAACCATAAAATCCAGTTTTAGTGGGTTTTATCTAGGTTTCATTTATAATTAATATTTTAACACATCAGTAGATTTGATGACATAGCAGATTAACTATAAAGACCGATATAGAGAGAGTTTCATAGAGTTCATCGGGATGAAATCCGTTGCTACTGATTATCAACATAAAAAGCTGACGTGACAGTCTTGATAACAGCACCCTAAAAGCTCTCTACTGAAATTGGTCTAATGCATGGTGGTTAAATTGTCGACCATGTTTTTTTTTTTGCTAAGCACGTTACAAAACCTAGACACTCCTTTCCGTAAAAAAAAAACTAACCAATTGATCTAACCTACTCATTTGGCTAGGTAGCTAGGAAGCCTAGGATGTGTATTTGGCCATGTTTGGTGTCTCCATCGACCCTGGCTAACAAATCTGTATTCATGGCTCGAGAAAAATCACGACATTGCAGGTAATAAAAATGAAATGTGTGTGACACCGACACTGCTATGTCTTTAGGCACGCGTGCCGAGGCACCCTCACTGGTGACTGGACTGGACACATGCGGTCGGGCCGGGGCGTCGGCGGTGCCGGTGCGGACTGCGGAGAGGAGAGAAGAGGCCGTCGGTCCGGCCGGGGGTGGCCCGCCCAGATCGACCCGGCCCGTTTTCACCTGAGAATAGATGGAGAGCCCAGTTAAACCGGGCAGGTAAAAAAAAACTGCAGCCCCCCGTGGTGGTGGGCCTGGCGACCATCTATTTATCCCATCACGTCCATCCATATGCATCCCACACACACACGGGTGACACAGCACAGCACAGCCAGCAGCAGCAGCCTTCCCTGTCACGCTCACACGCCTGCAGGCCGGCCGCCATTGCCAATCATTGATCGAGCTCGCAGCTCGCTCGTCGGCCGTCGCATCGTCCATCCACCGCTCGCATTGCGACGCCACCGATGGCCGCCGCCGCGCCTGCCGGGCACCGGCACGCGCTGCTTGGAGTTGGTGCGGCGGCGCCGCCCCTACTGCTTCTGCTGCTGCTTCTTCTCGTAGCAGCAGCAGCAGACGCGCAGCAGCCGCCGTCGCCGGGGTTCTACCCGAGCAAGCGTTACCGTGCGCGTCCCTTCTCCCGTGACTTCCGCGCCCTCTGGGGCGCGCAGCACCAGTCGGTGTCCGGCACCGGCAACGGCGGCGGCGTGACCATCTGGCTGGACTCGACGTCCGGGAGCGGGTTCAAGTCGCGTCGCGCGTTCCGGTCGGGCTACTTCGGCGCGTCCGTGAAGCTGCAGGCCGGGTACACGGCGGGGGTCATCACGGCGTTCTACCTGTCCAACGCGGACGCGCACCCGGGGTTCCACGACGAGGTGGACATGGAGTTCCTGGGCACCACGCCCGGGCGGCCATACACGCTGCAGACCAACGTGTACGTCCTCGGCTCCGGCGACGGCGGGCCAGGAAGGGTCGTCGGAAGGGAGGTCAAGTTCCACCTGGACTGGTTCGATCCCACCGCCGACTTCCACCACTACGCCATCCTCTGGAGCCCCACCCACATCATGTAAGACCTCCTGTCTGTCAATGGCGATGCTGCTTTGCTGCTGCTACAGATAGGAGTAGATTTTTGCTACTTGTGTGCAATGCCACACAAATGCAACCGGCCGGCCAATCAGCAACAGGGACAGGGACAGTGTGTCACTGTGCCGTACGTACGGCGCCTGCAGGAGGCCGTACCGCTGCTTTTAACTGACGCTTGCTGCACGCCTACCTCTAGCTCCTCACTGTCACTGACAAATGAAGCAGTCCAATCGTCGTCGCATCGCATCTAATCATTCAGCAGCTGTGCTACGTATGAGTATGCATCATGTCCGTGTGCATACATGCAGCTTCTACGTGGACGACGTGCCGATCCGGCGGTACCCGCGGCGGAGCGCGACGGCGGCGGCGACGTTCCCGCGGCGGCCGATGTGGGTGTACGGCTCCATCTGGGACGCCTCGTCCTGGGCCACCGACGACGGCAGGTACAGGGCCGACTACCGGTACAGCCCCTTCGTGGCGCGCTTCTCGGGGCTGCTCCTCCGCGCCTGCTCGCCGCGCGCACCGCCGCGGTGCCGCGCGCCCAGCGGCGGGCCCGGCGACGCGCTCAGCCCGCAGCAGGAGGCGGCCATGCGGTGGGTGCAGCGCAACCACATGGTGTACAACTACTGCCTCGACCCCAAGCGAGACCACGGACTCACCCCCGAGTGCATTCACCACGCAGACGCAGGCGCAGGCGATACATACCCAGTACCTCATAATGCTACCAGCTCCTAGCTCCTATATATGTGCTTAAATACTAGTAACCATCATCATCATATCTACCATAAATCTGTTCTCTAATATTAAAGAGCGGAAATTTTATTTATCCTTTGTCGCTCATAACCATCCGATGTGCATTCGACAGTTTTTTTTTTTTTTTGGGGTACGACCTACCACACATTGTTGCAGACCCTGTAATAAGGCGTCTTGAACGAGGATAGGTGGGAGGAGGACAAACATAACATTGAAGGTTTGTTGGATTAGTCTCTAATCCAAGGAGGCTAGAGGGGATCGAGGGTTTATTTGGTTAGTCTTCGATCCGAGAGGATTGGAAGGGGTTCGGAAAGATTGTGTCCACTGCACATCAAAATCCTCCTCAATCCTCTCTAATCCCGTGGAATGGAGGATAACCAAACAAGCTTTGAGAGGGATTTAGTCCTTATAAGTCAGAATCCCTTTGATCCCCTTCAATCCTCTTAAATTGGAGGCTAACCTGAACAAGGCTCGAGTGGGACATGAGAGATAAGAAGTACAAAATACAGGAGTAAAAATATAACTCACATAAAGTTTAGCTACTGTCTAAAAAACATCTACCTAAACTTCGGCTACAACTAAATTTTAGTCCTAGTGAAATCAAATTAAAAAACGCAGGAGTTGTCCTTGAACTTATTTCGAGTGCCATTCAAATCCCCAAACTACTAAAACACATGTTTACGCCCTCGAACCTGTTTCCGTGTCTCATCTAGGTTCCGCACTTCTGAAATTATTTTTTTTATTAGGTCCCTCGGTGTATCATCTAGGTCCCTAAGCTTAGCATGGTGTGTCAATTAGCTCTAAATAGATCCAATCTACTCCGCACCATATGATGGCACGCATCAAGAACGCAGTTCGATCCACACCTCGTTCTTGACCAGTTAGGAACTTAATGGAAAAGCAATCGTTTGTCTTCCTCTCCTGTCTAAGGAGCACTAGCTTTGGCCTTGTCACCACCACTCCAGATGACGTTGTGGCCTTTGATGTGGAAGATGATGAAGGTATATGGGCCTGTTTCATTTGGTTGGTCTTTGGTCTTTGGTTTTGTTGGTGTGGTCTTTGTTTTTTTTGAGAGGAAAACATTGTTGGTCGACCGGTTTAAATTTGTTTGAAACCAACATGCGTAACAGTCGATAGTTTGAGGATGGTTGCGTTGGCCTCTGTGTGATGCAAAGGAGAGAGAGAGCATTGAGACAAAAGTGAGAGAGACCAACATATGTGGGCTGGTTGTAGCTTGTTTGGACCTAAATGACGTACCGTGAGACAAGTTTGAGGACTAAATAAAATGAACTTTTCAGAGTTTTTTAACCAGATGACATCCCAAGACAAGTTCTGTTACGTGAAAATGTGTTTTAGGAGTTAGGCGACTTGAATGACATAACGAGATAAGTCTAAAGATCGCTCGTACATCTTACTCTTCAAACAAACACTTACTAGTTTATTATTAATCTCTCAACATAAGATTTACAGAAGCAAGGGGTCTCTGCATGTTCTATATGTTTCAAAAAAAGAAAAGTTGTTCTTCTATACTAAGGGAGTGTTTGCTTCCTGCCTCCTAAAATCTAGTCCCTCTCTCACATTGACGACAATGACTCTTACTGAAATTTTGTGCACGGGGCCGTGGGTAATGCATGGCTATAGCTAGCTAGCTTGTCTTTCGTGTCTGTAGATAGCTTTTTGCACATAAATCTGTGTGCGTGTCATGCGTGCGATGATTTTGTTTCTTTCAAGTGAAAACAGTGAGAGTTTGGATTGATGTCGTGTGCGTGTCAGCTGGGATTGGGGTTCCGTGACTGTCAGGAACCAGACGATGACAAGCGAAACCTGTATAGATGCACACATACTGTATAGCTTTGTTCAGCAGAACTCCACCTCCAGGAAACCTGTGTGAATCACCTCGTTTGTAATTTAGATTAAAAAAACATAATATTTAAACCACTTCAATTGAACCAAAGTAAACATGCATATATCTCGGAGTTGTAGCTGCGCCATGAAGACTTTTTTATGTATGAGACTTTCAGTGCGCAATAATACGATCAGAAATTTGGTCAAGTCATCACTATAATCTTAAAAAAAATTGTCAACGTGATTTCGTTTTAACTGACAGCGATTCACCTCTTTTATCGCAAGTGTCAATTTGGTCATCTCACGAAACACATATGCATCTACCAGGCTTGATCGTCGGTGACATAAAAATTAGCAAAATATATGTGGTCTCTCTAATCACATATATTTTGCAATGTATTTACGTGTATATAACAAAAGTTACGGTGAACTGATCATAGATCAGTTGTTTAGGTTCCTTGTGGTGGTGGAATCTGCCCACCCGAGTTTAAGTTCTCGACTTGACACGGATGCTCGCATTTTCCTGAATTTATTCTATGATTTAACGGGTGGTGACTTCATGAAACTCGAGATCTACCGGATCAGTCCTTCAAAGATGCTCATAACTATGTAATTCTTAAAAAAAGTTATGCATTTCAAAAAGTTAAAATAATTTGTAATTTAAAACAGAGACCAGTAGGTACCACCTATAAGTTGATCGAACGACGACGATGCGACCTGATTTAATTTGGAGGACGAGCTGATCCATTCATCTCTTTTATTATTTTATTATATTAAGAGGAAAACTTACTGGTCTGTCCGGTAATAAGCATGGATTAATTTGTAGGCAGTAATAAGCCAGCTGCCGCCACCGACATTTCACGTGTGGACAGACAGGCAGGCATTCTCATTTATTCTAGTCAACTTCATGTAACTGAGCGGTAGATTATTATTAGTAGCATGTAAGACTTTTTAAAATTTGATCAAGTTCATAGAGAGTAATATCAACATTTATAATTTTAAATCGGTTTATTTACTATAAAAATACACTTATTTTATTTACAGTTGATCTAGTGATATTTACTCGGCGTCATAAATATTAGTAATTTTTTTTATCTATAAATCAGATCAAATTTAAATTTGTTTGACTTCATGATAAGTGAGTATTGCATTTTTTTTACAACAAGAATAAAAAATGCTATAGTTACGGAGGGAAATGGGGAATAAGATGCCAAGGATGGAACTGCGCGCGTACGAGTGAATTTAATGGAGGCCTTATTGATTGCTCCAACTAGTCCACCGGCTGCTGCTGCCAACGACCAATTTTATTTAGTTTTTTTTTTCAGTGCCATCATCTATCGGAGATTACCCATGCCACGATGGCACGATGCATGCATAAGCAAAAGTATCTACTTCCACTGTCCTATTGCATACAATATTTCTAGTTTTCTACTAAGTCAATCTATTTTTTTTAAACGAATTAGGTAGGAGAGTTGTCGACTATATTAAAAAGAAGATGAACCCAGATTGGAAAACAATAAACGACACCAACACGACAACACGAAAAAAACAGGAAAAAAAACAACTCGGGCTGGTTGGATTGGGACATCAACACGCGCCGAACTCAAACTCAAAGAGAAAAACAACTCTAAGCGGTCGGATTGGAACATCGACATGACCTCAGCACAGTTGCACACCGCATCGCCTCGAAACCACAGCCGATAGCCACATTGCATCGCCGTCCTTCGGCCGACGAAGGCATCAAGACAGAACGCCGTCATCACCGCTCGCATCGTCGTTGCCGACGAAGTCCCACACCGAGATAGCCCGCTGTGAAGCAGAGCTAGTCGTCGCAGGCCGTGTAGCCTTCCCACAATCGAATCCGCTTGCGCCGCCTCTCAAGACGTTGTCCCATGCCGGACTAGCCACAGCCAAGCAAGACTAGCCGCCGTAGTCCGCTGCAAGCTGCAACTCAAGCATGAGCAGCTGCCTTTGACACTCACCAAGCTGACCCCGACCACCGAAATCCACGGGCGAACCCTGTCGCTTCTAGCAACCTAGCTGCCTCAACGAAGGTGAAGTGTCACACGCCAATTCGAGCAACCATTAGTGCGCCTCCTTGCACCGGAACGATTGCCGCTGAGCGGGACCGTCCGCCACCACCCCACGCAGGGCACCTTGGCAACACAAATCTGCTAGCCACCACCTCTCACGTCGTCCTCCTCGCTAATTCCGTGGGCGCCACCCACACTGGCCTCCTCGCCATCTTCGTGGGCGCCATGGCGCACAGTCCCGCCAGACCGTCGCCCTCCACTAGCAAATAGATGCGAAGCCCTCCATTCGCTGTGTCAATGCACTCATCATGGCTGCCTTATACCACCGTGGACACCAAAACTCGAATCCTCGTCTAGGCCTCCACCTTCCTCGCCATGGATTCGACCACCGCCACAGACACGCCGTGCAAGGGGGAGGGCCTTTCGATAGACGCTTCCAAGGAAGTAAACGGCGTCCAAAGGCGTCGTCGTCATCGGCCTGAAGAACGGGCAAAGCTTTCGCCATGGCTCCTCAACCACTGCACAACGGTGGCCGGCCCAAACTCGCTGCGCCATCCTTCCTTGTTGAGCCCGCGAACATGGCCGCCTGCCCAAGGCCATAGGTAGCAACGTAGGACACTTTCAATGTCATTGTCAAACTGAGAGGCTGGTGTGGTCTGCTTGACCATCGCCCGCTTCGACACCATGGCGCCGCAGACGCGAAAAAATGAGCAGGTCGTCGCCGGCCACGCCACCACGGCGCCAAGGCCACACAATCAGCGCAGCCACCCACCACCACGACGTTTGATGGTGCCTGGCCGGCACCTTCGCTTCCCCCCGCACTATCGCCTTCATGCTCACCGTACCGACGTAGCCGAGCCAACACATCGCCGCCGCTGGTGTTAGTTGCCGCCGTCGACCTCCGTCCCCATCACCAGGGCCGCACGATGCTGCCACCTCGAGAGCACCAGATCCGGCCCAGGGGAGGCCGGATCCAGCCACCAAGGCACCAGATCTATTGCTCGGAGCCGCCGCTGTCGCCGCGCCCTTCAAAGTCGCCGGCGAGGTCCACAACGGCGAGCAGCAGCCTCACCCGTGCAGCTACTCCTCCTCCTCCGCGCCTCCATGTGCTCGCCACTCCTCAGTGCGCAGGTACCGCGCCATGCCCGCCGGCGCCGAGAGCTTCACCCCGTATGGAAGACCTCACACGCCTAGGCGAAAGGCCTTGTCGCCACCATCCCAGGGGCCACGTGGGCATCCCGACAGCCACCTCTAGCAGCGGCGAGGGGGAAGGGAGGGGCCGGAGAGCTGGCGGGGAGGCTCGGGTGGTCATCGCCCGAGTCGCCTGTGCGGGGGGCGACGCGGGGGCTAACGCGTTTAGATCGGTGTCAATCTATTAACTTTAATCAAGTATATATTATATCAATTAATGTAAGAGAAAAATATTAATATGTGTAAGACAATTAATATACTTCCACTGCCTGCCTGCGATCGCTCCATGCGCCCCGCCCACTCGCCTCGAGCGCCCCTCGCCACTCCTACGTGCGCCATTGCTCGCTTCCACAAGCGTGGATTCGCCCCGACCGTTGCGTGCCCCACCCGTCGCTGCCGTCTCGCTGGGCCGCCTCCACCACGCCAGTTTGCCGCGCGCCGCCCGCCCATGTTGCGCTGGAAAGCGTATGTCGTAAACATATGTGTCAAGTGTTTTAGATGTTTTAGAGATATATTGCAAGTGTTTCATATGGATGTTGCAACAATAATAATAAGGCACGGCGTTCGTCCCGTATAGACGGACCGCTCCGCGTGCCATGCCCGCATCGACGCGCCGTTGCTTGCTCCCGCCCGCCCACGCTCGCTCGCCTCGCGTGCCCTGCCTGCCGGTGCCATTGCTCGCTCCTGCCTACGTGGATTCGCCTCGGCCATCGCGCGCCCCACCTGTCGCGGCCGTCTCGCAGGGCCGCCTCCACCGCGCCAGTTCGTCGCGCTGCCCACCCATGTTTCACTGAAAGCGTATGTTCCAAACGTATGTGTCAAGTGTTCCAGATGTTTCAGAGATATGTTGCAAGCGTTTCATATGGATGTTACAAGGGTAGATATGGATGTTACACATATTGCAATGGCTACGCACGTATGTTTCGAAAGTTTGTTCAAAATGTTTCTACCAGTTTCAGATTACGTTGCAAGTGGTTTATCTATATGTTGCATATGTTGCAAATGTATGTTTTAAATTTTTCGTCTGTTTCAGACTTATGTTGTAATTATTTTATCTGAATGTTGCAAAAGTAGATCTCAATGTAGATGTGAAGGAAGCCCAAGCCCTCGTGGTCCAGCTGCTGCGGCTCCCCTGGTGTGGCGAAGATGGAGATCGCAGACATGGGAGTGGTGGGGACAGGATGTCGTGGTGGATCGGCCGGGATGGGGAGTGAGATGGGCGCAGGCAGCCAGGCACGACGCATTGGGCGGGACGGGACACGGGCGAGGGAGCTGCGTACGTCGAACACGCGGGAGCTCCGTCGGAGGGACGCTGCCTCTGGAGCGGGATGAACACGAGGTGAAGGGAGCTGCGTGCTTGGGTGCCAGCGCGGGAGCGGCGTCCGGACTGACGCCGGGCGCTGGTCGCTCCGGTTTGACATGTATTGCTGCTACGCGCTTTCGTCGTCCATTATTTCGTCCTTTCACTCATCCAAATATGTCCGGTAGGTCCGGCAACCAAAGCCAGAAATAAAAAGCTGGTTGTTCCTAAGGGGTGCTTCGTTCGGCACCGACACTGGCGCACAACCCACACGAGAATTGTTATCGACCTGTCCTTTGGTTAACTACACACGCGAGAGGGCTAGTCGGAACTCTGGAGCGAATCTCACACTTAGGCACATGCTATTCTAGCTTAAGCATTACTTTTTTTTTGCGACGAAGCTTAAGCGTTACTCCCTCCGTTCTAAATTTTCAGTCGTTTTAGTTTTCTTGTATATACAAAACTTTTACTATATATTTAGCTATACACTATGTCTAAATATATAGTAAAAATATTTTTTAAAAAATAAAAAATCTTATAATTTAGAATTAAGGAAGTAGTACATTAATGGTTTCAAATGGTGCTCCGTTCCATAAAACTAAGAATGACGCCGGTGTTACTAGCCGCATAATTGTATTAATCCAGATACTGTGGAAACCCGTCTTCTTCGTAATTGTTCGTTGCATTCTACCTTAGTTGTGTCTAGCTTGAGAGCATTCCCGCCTCTCTTCTGTTTCCATAAAACAATATATACACTTATACATCCACCCTGTTCGCTTGAGCTACTTTTTAGTCATGGGATAATGTTTTTCTCTCATAATATTTCAGCATAAGCGAACAGGGTGATCCGATTAGCCGTCCAGGAACCAAGGCCAACTGTTCTTCAAAGATAGCACACAAAACGCCTTGAGCCTATTTGCCACGAGCTCGAGACCTCCGATGCAATCCTGTAGATCACATTGCGCAAACTAAATGGTTTGAACTGTCCTTACTCTTCTGGCTTTGCAGTGTTCGGGATGCGTGCTAGGCCATCTTCCCCACGAAGTATTCCTACTCGAAGAACAAGAGCAGAAATTTGTTCCCCACGAAGATCCCAAGTCTCTCTCTCTCTCTCTCACTTGAGAGAGAGGAGACCCACCCTACTCAGAGAGTCAGACGAGAGGAGAAAGAAGCCCAAAAGGCCTTTCCCGGCCTCAATGACCTCAGTCTAACTGGGCCGTGCCTTGCATTCCGTGGTCTGTAGTGTGGACGACTTGGTGGGGCCCGTATCCCCATGGTCGTCTCCTTCATCCCTCCTCTCCTCTCCGGTCTTTGTCCCCAATCGCATTCTCATCGCACCGCACGAGCTCCGGATCGGCGACCACCGCGCCCCGACGACTACGACGAGGAGGAGCTAGGAGACGAATCGGTGCAAGCAGCGGGGTCAAAGACAAGGAGGCCGATCCATCCTCCAGCTTCCGATCCGATCCGACGATATGGTGAGGCGCTCAGTTCTCCCTCTCCCCTCCCCTCCCCTCCCCTCCCTGCAGATCCCGGTGCTATACTAACGTCGTGGTGGATGTGCTTGGCCAGGTCTGCGTCGCGTGCCTGCTGCCGCTCTTCCTGATCCCGGTGGTCAACGCCCTCCCTTACCTCATCGACCTCATCATCGTACGGATCCTTCCCTTTTCCCGGTTTCTGTAAGATCCAGGCATCCAGCCACCCGCATAGTCCGTGGTGGTGGTTGGGGTTCTATCGATTCAGCGGTCCTGGGGGATCTTGGAGCTTGTTTGTCTACTAGACTGCTGCACTGATGGTTTTGTCTAGGACTCGTGGATTCGTTGGAGCAGGAAACCGGAGCTCACCGTTCCTATAGAACTATAGAGAAGACCTAGCTGCCGGTTATAAATTGTGATTCGTATGAGCCAGCTACGAACGGAGCTGTTTTCTTTTCTATGATGACATTTCCTTATCAGCAAATTGTACCCATCCAGATTTCCCCATCAGATTCGCATAGCAATAACATCATCCAATAAATTGATAAGCAATATGCATTTTGAATTATGAATTCTTGTGCCCAGCAGCTTCCTGAGCCTGGATTGTTGATTCATTCTAGATATCAGCTTCTTGTGCAGTAAATTCAGCTTCTAGATGCATGTGAACATACCTCCTCTTGATTAGCGATATGCCTCCTTTTGATTAGTGATAACACTACAGATGTAAGAATGTAAGATTTGAGAATAAACCAATTCCTGACACTGTAATGGATAAAGGAAATCATAATTTCAATTTAGTCAGGCCGCATGGAAGACATCGGATTGTTGATTTTCTTTTTCTTTTTTTTGGAGTAATATGCTCCTTCTACAACAAAGTGGTTCAGTCATGTCGGTTGGGTCTAGCCATGCATTCATGCCTCTGTTTGTCTAGGCCTTGTGTTATTAGCTGGAACACTAAATCATTGATCCTCTAGGGAAGATCTACCTGTCGATTACAAAGATTCTTGTATGTGATTTGGAAGAGCCAGCTAGGGGCCGAAGCTGGTTTATTTTCATTAACGATTTTGTTAGGTTTTCTAGGATTATATTGGTCAGTTGCTTACTAAAAATTCTGTCAGAACCATACATCTGATCTGTGAACCAAAAACGATAGTGGTGCGCTTTCTAACTGCCATAGCCTTGTAGGTTTACATGTGCATTTGGTCACACCAAATGAAGAGGGTCTCTGTTTCATTTCTAGTTTCTAATAAAATTCTGTTGCTTACATTATGGAATTTGATTTGTATATTGGATGGTTTCCAGAGCAAGGTGTATCGGCTATTTGGATGGGAGTACCGGAGACCTGAAAGAGTCCCACCTGCTTGTCCTTACAAGCCTGCAGCTCAGAAGAACGATGAGGTACGCCTACATGTTCATCCTACTTTTTGTGCCCTTATATGCTCATGCTACAGTGCATCTCCAATTGCTTATTGTACTCCGCCTTTACAGGGTGCGAGTGAATCAAAACCCTTAGTCAATCCACATGGTGCTGCGGCAGAAGATAAGAAAGAGGAATAATTCATGTATTGAATCCTGCTCGTGTCAGCAGGCGCTTAGAATGGAGATCACTGCTCTATATGCGAACATATCGTAACTAAGAAATAATTGTTGTGATTGATGAATATGTATTTGGATTGACGGGTTGATGATTGTATGTACTTGTGATGCCACTCCGGATCCTTCCCAGTTGCGTGACTAATCACTGCTGAAATGGAGTCGAATTCGCAGTTGCAAATAGCTGAACTGAATTTTGTTGTCAAAATCTTTTAGAATAGAATGCTTGAAAGAGCTGGATATTATGGTGTCATCAGAAGCTGTTGGAACGCTTGGAAGAGAGATTCCACAATACAGTACAGTGCGCAGTTCCAACGTGAATCTCAACTTTGCCTGACATTATTTTATCTGTTCGTTATTATGCTAGTATTCAACTCATCAACCGTATATCGCTAGAGAAAACATGATGGGATCGATGGATGATGTTTGGCTTGATTGAGATCACTTGGTATACTCGAGGACGGCATAGAAGGGGTCGAGGTAGATGGCGCGGAAGCCTGTGAAGCCGGCGGCGAGGCCGAGGTGGCGGAACTCCTCCTCGGAGCGCTCCCTCCCCTGCGTCCGGTAGGTGGTCATGACGAAGATGTCGTTCTCCAGCAGCGCCCTCGTCCTGGTGGTGGTGTCCGTCTGCTCCGGCACCACCGGCTCGCAGGCCACCAGCTTGCCGCCGTCCGGCAGCGCGGCGTGGCAGTTCCTCAGGATGGTCGTGCACTCGTCGTTGGTCCACGTCGTCAGAACCCACTGCATGATCCGAGGTTTTGGTTTTGGGAAAGGAGGCTCCTCATGGTCAGTCTGGACTCTGAAGAAGGAACTGAAGTAGTGGTGCTTGCAATGGAGGCGAGCGAGGGGTACCGTACCTTCATGAAGATGGCATCACCAGAGGGGATGGACTTGAACATATCTCCACCAACATGCCTCACTCCTGTAACGAAAGATATGTCACCTTGTTTTTTCTTAAAAGACTAGTCCCTCTAGAACATTTTGACTTCTCTAGATACAATTAGATATACACTATGTCTAGATATATTGTCAAAGCAATGTATCTAAAAAATTAAAACGTCTTATAATTTAAAACGGAGGAAGTACCTTAGAGCATATTTACATTATATATACTAGGAAAAAAGTCCAAATTATTTCCTTCAAGTTTGGCCAATATCCAAATACCCCCAAACTAACGTTTATAAACACATGCAATGAGAGACAGAGACGGATGGGAGCAAACTGTGCTGTTGATACTGGGCTCCTGGCGTGGCGCTACCACAGGCCAGTCGTAGTATAAAATTGGAAACCAACAAAAGACTCTGATTCAGTTGCAGAGTAGACATGGGATGATGGTTCGGGATGCCTTGTGTCTGATTTTTTTTTTATATAAAAAAAAGCATACTAGTTTAGCCACGCATATCATAAGTTGTGATTCACACGTATGGCATTGCTGAAAACAACAGGAGTGGGTCATGGTCCATGGTAATGATATAGCCAAGCCAAACGATGAATTGTATTGTATGTATTCATTCAAAGGCAAAGGCGTGTGTGGCACGCACCTGGCTGCTCTCCCTCCACGAGGCAAGAGCTGTCTGTAGATCATGGTGCCCTCTCTAGCTAGGCACTTGCCGGACGTGCTACAGGCCCGTGGCGTGGCACACCATCAGCGCCGCAATTGTAACATATATATAAAAATCTACGGCGGCGTGTTTCAAAAATCGAAACCACCTTTGGGTCCGATAACAAGTCTTGGAATCTTAAGTAACAAAAACTTTTTTTATCACACACTTGGAGATGCTCAAAAGGCTTATTTTGACAGGGCGATTTGTTCTATAAGCACAAACCCACCCGTCCTTAGCAGACGCAGATCGATGGTGTCTCCTCCATGCAATTTTGCCCTCTTTTCTCTTATTAACGATATGAAAAACAAATCCTCATGTATGTATGTTTGCGTAAAATTGAAAATGCCGTGACCATTTCGATCACAATCGACAGCCACACGGTACTTACTGCAGAGCCATCATATCTTTGTGATGGGCGGTACGTGCGGCGAGGGATCTGATCACTAGCTTTCGCTGAAAGCCTCGCGCACCTACCATACCTCCATATCCCGTATGATACGGCAGTGTTTTATCGCTAGCTGTTGACTGAGATCAGAGAGATGCCACCATACACGTCTATTTCCTCTGTGTTCCATATCGCTTCTCAAGAAGTTATTTTTTTAGTTTTATTAATCAATGGATTATACATACAAAAGGTACTACTAGCAATATTTATGATATATGCTTTGTTCGGCCGCTCGTAAAGCCGCTTGTGCTGATTTGTATAGCTGATTTGTTGAAAGAGAAAAATACTGTACCATGGCTTATAAGTCGGCTTATAATGGCAGCCGAACACACCCATAGTATGCGTCATATTAGTAGATACGGATGCTGTAAAGCGAGATTAATTTTTAGTTATTTTAAAACGGGGTGAGTAGATCGCGCTTTTTTTTGGGCTGAGAGAAGTATATACACTAACAGTTTTGGTTCACTTCCTTGGTAGACTCTGCACGGATCTCTACGCCGCCTGCAACATTGCAGACGCGTAGAGATCCGTGCAGAGGAACTGAACCAAACTTAGCCTGTTGAACGATCGATGCTAATAAAACTCGTTTTGCAGGCGCGTAGAGATCCGTGCAGAGTCAACCAAGGAACTGAACTAAACTTAGCCTGTTGAGCGATCGATGCTAACAAAACTCGTTGAATGATGCATTCCATTTGCATTTGCGTGTGACTATGTGTGTGGATGGTAAACTAATAATCCCGAGGCAATGCAACTAATAATCCCGGACGGGACGGATCGGATCAGACGAATCATCCTTGGATTGTTGAATGAATGATGATGCATTGCATTTGCATCTGACTGACTATGTATGTACGAGAGGTGAGAGGGGCCAGCCAGGCCAGGGCAGGTAGCGTCGCACGTACCGGCGATGGGCGGCGCGTCGGCGACGACGTCGGGTAGGTCGAAGTTGATCCCCTCCTTGATGGTGGGGACCCTGCGCATGATCATCTCGAGGCAGGCGCCGGAGCTTCCCCCGACGTCGACGAGCGTGGCGACGCCGCGGAACCCGCCGCCGTCGTCGGCGCCGTAGCCGTCGAGGAGGGCGTCCATGAAGGGCTCGGAGACCCCCGTCATGGCGCGGAGCATCACCTGGTTAGCTTCCCTGTCCTTGCCGTAGTAGGCGTAGGCGGGGACGCCGGCGTTGGCGCGCGCGAACGGCTCGGGCCCGCGCGGGTCCAGCACGGCCTCGTGCAGCCGCGGCCACGACGCCACCAGCGCGTCCTGGTGGTGCTGCAGCACGTAGTCGGCGTACGACGCGCCCGAGGCGCCCTCGGGCACCAGCGTGCGGCCCACCGCGGTGAGCGCGAACCGCCGCGTCGTTGTAGTCGTCGTCCGGTCCTCCGACGTGGACGTGGACTCGGAGAAGACGCCGCGGGACGCCAGCAGGCGGAGGAGACGCTCCAGGACCGACGGGTCCGGGTGGCCCGCCGGGAGGAGCTCGGCCGCCGACAGCGGCGCGTTGGCGCCGCCCGCCCATATCGCGTCGGGGACGCCCAGCCGGATCACGGCCGTCAGCGCCATCGGGACCGACACCATGTTCGCCAGCTCCATCATCGCCAGCCGGGCCTCCGCCGGGGACATGTCGTCCCTCGCGGCGCCGACGGCTGCGGCGGCGGCGGACGGCGGCGGCATTTTTTGGTTTTGGTGGATTGGATTGACGGCGCGCGACGCGAGGGGAGGGTCGTGTGTGGTGGAGGGAACGACAGGAGTGGTGGTGCTAGACAACACTGCTACTGGTACTGCTACAGCGACGGAACGGAACCCCTCTGTGGGTGGGGCCCGGGGATCCGGAGATGGCAATTTGCAACGACCGGATCAAATTCACATGACCCCGTCAGCCCCCTCGCCGAAAACCACGAGCCCGAATCCCAATCACGACACTGGATTTTGATTTCTTAGGAATGGAGACGCAGAATGGACAGGTGAGGGACACTGGAACTTTGTTTCGACTGACGGCACAGCTACAACGGGCAAAGAAACCAAACCACGGTGGCCCATTAACTAGTACTAGTATAGGGTTTAAAAATATCACCGATATTTCAAATGTTTTGGTACATATACGTCAAAAATTTAGTGAGTTTGAATTCGGTACACTAGAATTGATTTCAGCCCGCTTGCGCACGTGAGAGCCCAAATCAAACATGTGTAAACGCCGCGCAGTACCCTAACCCTAAAATTCGAGTAGTACTTGGATCACCAACCAACCACTCCTCGGTTGTATTTGAACGTGTAAATTGCCATTTCATTCAAACATGAAGGACATGTTTTTGTAGTCTCACCTGCTGCCTGTCGTCTGTTTGGCCCAGCCCCAACGTGGCTGGAATTGCAAGCCCAGCATATGCCTCGCACCTCATATTGCAGGCAATGCTGGGTGCGAAAGACGCATGCACAGCATAATACTGTATTTCATCAATTTTCATATGTATGTATGTACATTCTGTGTAGCGTACACCAGAAACTGGAAACAGCACGGACCATGCATGAGAAAGTGAGCGTAGCAGGCACCATAGAAAGGCGACTCTACCAAAGGCAAAGGGATCTGAAAGCTACACACCCACCACACCACGGACTGATGCAGATGTAACCAGCAGCATACCTGTTGGTACGCACCAAACACTAGCCACATCACAGGTCCATGCTCACGGGAAAATAAGGACTAGAGAGTAGTCAGGGAACCTGGTATATATCAATGCATTGCTGGTGTCTGCTTCGGTTGAGGATCAGTCAGTGTATAAATATACAGTGAAACAGCTTGCACTGGAGACACCTTCCCTTCCCAACGCAAGCTCTTCCAAAAATCAATGGCACGCCCTTTGCCGCTTGCGTCTCAGCGCCACAAGCAGCAAGGCAACGAATATGCGGGCAACGTAAGTAGCCTCCCCTATACATACACAAAGAAGAAGAAACGAAGAACAAAAGGAGCAAAACGAGAGGGCTTTTTTTTTGGTTGGGTCCCTTTGTCCTGAACAAGCTTTTCTTCACTTGCAGCAAAACTTCACTTGCCGTTAACTTATTCCCTTTCCTACTGACTGTATCTTCCACCACTTTACATTACCGAGTATGCGCGGACCACCTCCACGATGGGAGCCCGGCAGAGCGGGCACTTGCCACCGCTGCGCGCCAGCTCATTTGCACATTTCGAGCAAGTACACATGTGCCCACACCTGCCATCGTGTCACCCGAAAGGTTTAAAGCATTACAAATCACACATCACACATACACCATCTTGTGCACAAGGAACCTGAAATGCGATGCGGAGTACCCACCTGTACAGTAGAGAATCGATTTGCGTATCACAGCATACACAGCAGGTTCCTTTCCTCACTTGATTCCATTTTGATCCATCTTCAGACAGATCCATCGAGAATCCTGCCAAACACAAGCAACCAACCAGTTCAATAAGACCAAGCATACTTGCACAATGAATGGAAACCCGAAAAAACAAGGGGTACAGAAAACAAGCAGACCTCAATTGATGGTAACAGTCACTAGGAAATAAATAAAAACTTGCTGAGCAAATAATGAAAAGAAGTTTCAGGTTTGGTGCAAACCATTGTTCATATTAGATATAGAAACAGTACTGCAATCATGATGTTATAAGAAAAAGAAATGTCCAACCTTCAGGTCCTGCAAATCGATTCAAGGCAGCTGACACTTCTTGTCTCACAGAACGCTGCAACTCCAGCTGCATGTCCATGCACGCTTCCAGCATCCTCTGCATGCTGCTCATCCCTTGCTGAAGTCTACCCATATCAGCTCTTAAATCATTAATAGCATCCCATTCCTGCAAGAATACAAAACCAAATGAATCCTCAGATGTAATTTTTTTAACATAAATAACACAAGATATTCAAGCAAATTTAAATCCATGGCATGACCGCAAATATGATCCCATTTTTTATTTTGACTCAGCACACTAGTAGAAAAGTTTTTTCCCCTTTCTATACAAAAGCTCCATCATTGAATGAGAAGATAACGCACAGGATCTGCATGTACCCTGTGTCTGCTGCTCCAGTTGTTATGACGCAGTTCTCTGTGCCATAATGGTTGTCGCGGTGGCAAAGGTGGAGGAGGGATAACAAGGGCAGGTCTATTGACAGGAGCCTGGAATTGCCGAGTTTCAGGGTTCCTTTCTTGTTCCTGATTTGCATTTGGTGCATGTGAAGCGGGCATGGCTGCATCAAGATTCCAGTTGAGGGGACCATGACCACGCCGTTGAACATATGACCTTATTAATTGCTCCAAACTTTCACCAAAACCATTACTAAGAAGATTGGACACACTTCGCCTGGCAATTCAAAACATGAAATACCTTGAGAATAAATTAGATGGAAAATAAAGACATTTAGAGAAATACCCACTGAAGGTAGAAAATACCTGCTAAGTAATTCTCTAAGTTCCATGCTGTACACATTGTCATCGTCAGGTGGGATAAACCTATTTTCGGTCCTAGGAATGGGGCCTGTATCAAGTGCGGAATCTTGGTAATCATCTTGCCAGTTCTCCATGGTACCATGAGACTCGTCATCATGCCATCCATCATGCTCTTCTTGTAGATGACCATGCTCCCTGTCATCCTCCTCCACAGTTTCACTGTGTAAGTCTTCTGCATTATCTTCCCAAGTTCTGTCAGCACCTTCATCAATCTCACTGGGCCACCTATCAAGCCTGCCATCCAAAGATGACTGCCAGAATCCCATGTCATCTTCTGTCTCATCTTGCCGCATGTTATCACCTTGAGTTAGAGACTCTTGCATCACAGCCATGCCATCCAAAGGTATACTTGGTGAGTGTGCCTCGGCACGATCTGCACCCATTTCTTGTAAATCCACATTCTCCAGCAATGTTTGGGCGGTATCCTCACTATCAGTAAAAGCCACATCAGCCCCTTGCTGAGATTCATCATTACCTAGTAATCTAACACTCTCAGCCACAGAAGCATCAGATTGGCTAACATCTTGACTACTGGCAACACTCTCTGATCTGAAAAAGGTACAATAAATTACCTTTTATTAATTGGAACAATGTCAGGGAAATAAACTTACAAACAGTATCACATAACAAGAGCTCTAATTGATAAGGACTTGGCATAGAACACAAGCATTGAGAGATGTAAATTGCACTGTTGTGAGCAATCTTAACAGGCAGACACCCATTGAGGTTTTTTTGGTATCAGCTCATGTGAACCTTGATACCACACGTAAAATAAACTCTGAAACACAGTGGGGGCAGAAAGTACTGCCTCTCTTTCATGTTATTTGGATTCAGTTTTTTGAGCACTCAAGATGCACGTCGATATTGTGTAGAAACTACCATGTTGGCAAATATATCATTAATTATAGCAAAAACCTCTTGACATTTACATTTTAAAGTTACTAAAATCATTTTTATATTTAACTTAAAAATAAACTATATACTACAGAGACTTTGAGCTCTCAGTTTGGCATTTGCATCTGTCAGTCCATAATCTCTCCCCTAGCATGTACACTTATCAAGCCTGCCAGCAGTACAACAAGACCCATACCATATATTTATATTAGTCCTCTAGTCTTGCGAAATAGATAGTAGAAGTCACAAGAACATAAACACCGATAGTAATCTCTGTCCCTGATACCCTTTCTCTTCTTTTAACCGCTCTGGAACAAATAATATTTATGTATTGCTTTTTTAAAAAAATTATATAAAATCCCTCTAGTCACAGAAAAAGTTCACCAGTGGGGTGCAGCAGTCAATCATTTCTAACTTTGACCAATTCTATATATCTTTGTATCAAGGATCAGCAACAAGGACATGTCAAGTAATCAAGAGATGCTATCCTAGTATAAATATACTATTTCTTGGGTGCCATAAAAATTAAAGCAATGGCACTTGTTGTAGAACTTTAGATGCAGCAAGGTATAAGGAATAACATTGGCAATGAAGGAACTGGAAGAACAGAATAAAATACATGGAACAGATGCATCAGAACTGGGACTGGTAGCAATAAAAGATATGTTATCCCTTATTTTCATGAGTCAATCACTTATACATCAAAAACAAATTGCATGAAAATGATCAATAGCTCCACTTTTAAAAGAGAGACCCATATCATCATTTAATGCTATCGGTACTCTGAATAAGAGGAAGAGGATTCTCTTCAGCAGCAAACTAGGGTAACTAAAACAGCACAAGAGATATAGCTTGAGTGCTTGACGAGTGGGTGTAGTAAGTACAAGATAGTTGGTATCACCATCAAACTACGCTAAGACATGCAGAGGCTGGACTCAGGGACAAAAGGTTCCGGAGTATGCTAGTCAATATCATCAATACATTTTGCAGTAGAATTTAAAGCCTATTTGGTTAGTGAATAGTCTATAACATATAGAACAAGAATGGCCTGCCATCAGAAGGACCGGTATAATTAGCAACAGTGGCACCTGAAACCTAGCCTACGGTTTTGCTTTAGAGAACTAATAACACAACAACCGTAGTAAAAGGTTTCTGGTTCATTTTAGAAGTAATTTTAGTGGCATTGGCGCCACTAAGAAACTATGCACAGATTGCATGATGGAATAACTTGATAAACTTGGACACAGTTAAACACCGTAGGCATTTGTAATGGTTTCAATGTCTAGGCAATGCCTGTCCAACAA